AAGTTAAAATTATGGTTAATTACTAACAATCATTAACTCTGTGTGTTCATAGTGATTCTTTAAACTTTTCTGTGTTTGACATCTTTTATCATAAATAGTTGGGAGGAGCTTTGTGTAATTACATACAATATGATCTTAATTGTATTTTAAAGTTCATCAAGACCTGTAAATAAACCAAAATGTTAACAATGGTCATTTCTGGATGGCGGTATTGTTTTTCCTCCTTATATATTGCTATAATTTATCTTTTTTTTTTTTTTTTGAGATGGAGTCTTGCTCTGTTGCCAGGCTGGAGTGCAGTGGTGCGATCTCAGCTCACCACAACCTCCGCCTCCTGGGTTCAAGCAATTCCCCTGCCTCAGCCTCCCAAGTAGCTGGGATTACAGGCATGTGCCACCACGCCCAGCTAATTTTTTGTTTTTTAGTAGAGATGGGGTTTCACCATGTTAGCCAAGATGGTCTCCATCGCTTGACCTCGTGATCTGCCCACCTCAGCCTCCCAAAGTGCTGGGATTACAGGTGTGGGCCACTGTGCCGGCCACATGTTACTGTAATTTTTCTATAACTAAATTGTCCTGTTTAGAAAAAGTTTTACTTATTATTATTTTTTTAAAATTTATTTTATGTTTTTGAGATGGAGTCTTGGTCTGTCGCCCAGGCTTCAGTGCAATGGTGCAATCTCGGCTCACTGCAACCTCTGCCTCCCAGGTTCAAGGGATTCTCCTGCCTCAGCCTCCTAGTAGCTGGGATTACAGGCGTGCACCACCACGACTGGCTGATTTTTGTATTCTTAGTAGAGATAGGTTTTCACCATGTTAGCCAGGCTGGTCTCCAACTCCTGACCTCAGGTGATCCACCTGCCTCCGCTTCCCAAAGTGCTGGGATTATAGGCGTGAGCCACCACACCTGGCCAGATTTTTACTTTTTAAAGAGGAAATACTGTAAATCACTGCGAAAACTAACAAAAGTTGCTGGTTCCTAAGAAAGCATTTCATCTTTGAACTTCCAAGTTAATAAAATCCCTACAATTTTCATTATTAAGAATATTAGGGGTTATAGTGCCATTTAAATACTGATGATACTCTTTGGTATGTCTTGTAGTAGGCATTGCAGACAATTTCTAATGCTTTACCTAATGTTTAATTAAAGAACTGAATTGAAAAAAGTGATGTAACACAGTTAAAGTAGAAAAATGTGGGGCTCAAATTCAATCTGTGCCCTTATTATTTGTGTGAATTTAGGCATGTTACTTAAACTCTGTCTCCCACTCCTCATCTGTAGAACGGAAATAGGACAACTGACTTCCCAATATTTTTGTAAGGTTTAATTGAGAAAACATCTGTAAAACCTAATATGGTGCCTGGTCCATAGATTGTCTTCAATTAGGAGAGGGCTGAAAAAATTAGATAATATAATAAGCAGCTAAACAATGTCTGACCAGCAGCCAGTGCTGGATAAGTAGTAATCTATAGACCAGAATGATTTTTTTCCTGTGATCTTTTGTTTCCTACACAGAATGCCACGGTCTACTAGAATGGGAGTTTCAAGAGAGCTACTTCCCCAGTGCCTAGGACAGTGCCTGGAGGGCAGCAGGCATCCCATAACAGACTGCTGAAAGAATGGGAGCATGACCATGTCATTGCAAGGATGGACTGAAGAATGAATGCCCTCAGACAGAGACATCTGAGTTCATAGTGCCTAAGGGAAGATGAAAGTTGCTCTGGTTGTAGTGGGCATAGACTGAGCTATTACAGTGAAGACAGGTTTCACTGAACCTTCCTCGGAGCAGTGGCCATGGGGATGGGTGGAAGTGGCTGTCAATTTGCTGGGCTTTTAGGATGCTCTGAACAGGCAAATCTCATCAAGTGGCTTCTCCATCTAAAACCTGTGCCTGGTGTCCCTTTGCTCGTAGGATAAAATCCAAACTCCTTCCCGGGCCTATCAGCCTCTCTGCTCACCTCTGGCTACTCTCCTCCTCTCACTGCAATGTCTGGCAGCACTGGACTTTTTCCAGTTCCTAAATACTATCATGCCATCTTCTGCCTGCAGTACCTTCTGCCTTGCAACTCACATTTTATCCACTCATGTCTCACCCGTGTCTGACATCTAGTGTGTACATATCCTTCAGGTATCAGCTTAAATGTCACTTACTTGAGAATCTTCCTTAACAAATATCCTTTCCCAAACTTGCCCACCATCCCGGTTAGGTTAGGGACCCTTCCTGTGTGTCCTCACAGCTCTCTGTATTTGTTCTACTTTAGCACTTCTTACCCTGTAAGGCAGTTTTGGGGTCTTTCCCCGACAATTAGAATGTAAGTTCCGGCCCAGCGCAGTGGCTCACGCTTGTAATCCCAGCACTTTGGGAGGCCGAGGCAGGCGGATCACGAGGTCAGGAGATTGAGACCACGGTGAAACCCCGTCTCTACTAAAAATACAAAAAATTAGCCGGCGCAGTGGCGGGCTCCTGTAGTCCCAGCTACTCGGGAGGCTGAGGCAGGAGAATGGCGTGAACCCGGGAGGCGGAGCCTGCAGTGAGCTGAGGTCAAGATCGCGCCACTGCACTCCAGCCTGGGCTACAGAGCGAGACTCTGTCTCAAAAAAAAAAAAAAAAAGTAAGTTCCAAGATATTAATGATTTTCATGTTTTCTTTACTGCTTCACCAAGAGTGCCTAATGCCTGCCTAATAGTAGACACTCCATAATTATTTGTTGAATAAAATGAATGAAGTTCCATGTAGTAATTTCCATGAGACCTGGTTTTGTGTTGGTTCCTGCATAATTAACAGAAAGTACAGTGTCTGGCACAGAGTAGTTACGCATCAAATATTTATCAAATAAATAAATGTTATTTAATACTGATTATCCATTTATACTTCATGTAAGTGTTTATTTCAGGGATCAAATGAGAAGGAGTTAGTGTCAAATATTTCAGTTGTTTCACCTTTTATTCTGTTAATGCTTCCATATGTTGTGCTGCTTTTACATTCAAATTATTACTTAGCAACACTTAAACATTCTCTACTATCTATGATATATAGCACCAGTGATACCAATTCCCAATTTTAAAAAATTTACTTACTATCTACCTTCATTGTTTTTATTGTTGTCACCATGTATTTTGGGTTTAGAATAAGCCAACCAAGGGTCACCAAAAGCCCAAAGAACAAGTATTACTATCTCTAACACTTGACTTTAAGTCTTTCATCAGGAACATAGATCAGATACCTGAATTCAATTACATCCCCGTGAACTCAAATCACCTTTGTAAATACCAATAATGTGAACAAGTAAGTAGATTCTCAGAACATCAGTGTGCAATCCAACAATAACTTGGAGAAAAGTTAACCTTTCAAAAATATCCATCTCTCTCATTTTCAGAAGATTATATCTACAATTAAGTGGGGCAAAAAGGTGAACAAAGGCATCAAAAACTCCATTAGCCATAGGTTTCTTCTTTGATTTAATAATATATATATACATAAACAACCTCCTAGGACCTGGAGGTTGTTGATTTATTTGTTTTGCGGGATTTTTTGGTAGATATCTGTCATTATATTTAAAGTTAATGTTTTTTTCTCATTATTAATCACACCAAAATTCATACATTGTTGAATGGCTGAGCAACCAGGCTATCGGGGTCATTTTTTTGTTTGTTTTTTGAGATGGAGTCTCACTCTGTCACCCAGGCTGGAATGCAGTGGCGTGATCTCAGCTCACCACAGCCTCTGCCCCCTAGGTTCAAGTGATTCTCCTGCCTCAGCCTCCCAAGTAGCTGGGACTAGAGGCATGCACCACCACACCCGGCTAAAATTTTTTTGTATTTTTAGTAGAGACGGGGTTTCACCATGTTGGCCAGGATAGTCTCGATCTCCTGCCCTCGTGATCTGCCCACCCAGGCCTCCCAAAGTGCTGGGATTACAGGTGTGAGCAACCATGCCTGACTTATTTTTTATTTTTTATTAATTATTATTATTATTTTATTTTATTTTATTTTATTTTGAGACAGAGTCTGGCTCAGTCACCCAGGCTGGAGTGCAGTGACACTCCTTGGCTCACTGCAACCTCCGCCTCCTGGGTTCAAGTGATTCTTCTGCCTCAGCCTTCTGAGTAGCTGGGATTACAGGCATAAGCAACAAAACTGGCTAATTTTTGCATGTTGGCCCGGCTGGTCTCAAACTCTGGACCTCAGGTGATCCGCCCGTCTCAGCCTCCCAAAGGGCTGAGATTACAGGTGTGAGTCACTGTGCCCAGCCTATCGGGGTCATTTATTTTATTTTATTTTATTTTTAGACAGAGTCTCACTCTGCAGCCAGGCTGGAGTGCGGTGGTGCGATCTTGGCCCGGTGCGATCTTGGCCCATTTCAATCTCTGCCTCCCAGATTCAAGCGATTCTCCCGCCTCAGTCTCCCAACTGGCTGGGGCTACAGGCGCGTACCACCACGCCCAGCTAATTTTTGTAGTTTTAGTAGAGACAGGGTTTCACCATGTTAGCCAGGATGGTCTCTATCTCTTGACCTTGTGATCCGCCTGCCTTGGTCTCCCAAAGTGCTGGGATTACAGGCGTGAGCCATCGCGCCCAGTCTGGGTCATTTAATTTTTATTTAGTGCATGAGCTGGTGATATTGAAAGTGCTGCAAGCCTTCTTATCAGAGCAGAATCTGCTAGTTAGGGTTTCTGCTAAATGATGAGCAAATCTGCAGCATCACTCTCACTGCTCATCCCTGTGGAGTGATTAATGGTAGCCAGAGTTAAGACCCTCAGCCAGTGGTATAGAAAATGGGACTGAGACTTAAGGCAATTTGCCCTGATGCCATAAATGCTTTTGAAATTGATTTGAATTAATTCATCTTTAAACCACTTAGTTTCAGAAAGGATTTATGACCATGTCCAAAGGCACAGTAAATATAATCCAGCAAGATAAAAATCTATGTATAAGTAAGTGAGGCCAGTGTGGCACAGGAGAAATACAGATGGGGCATCACAGGGCTCCTCTCCTCTTACCTGTGTACTGCAACCCCCTGTACTCGCTTATTGCCCCAGGAGGTTTTAAATTGGGCCAGTAGTGGAAAAGCATTTGCACAGCTGGAGGCTTCACTTGTGAAGGCCCATACGCAATCACATACAAAAGATCCTAAAGGAAACAGCAAGCATATTTTGACTTAGCATCATGAAATAAAAAGAAAGGTAGAGACTTCAACATTACCAAAGCAGTGAAAATTCTAATGGAGGGGTTGAGGTGAGTAATTTCCCTGGAATCTCATGCAGGCATGTTTCATAGATTAGATCCCGTTAAAACATTATATTTTTATGATTTATGTATTTACTGGTCCTTCTGTAAATGAGCCCTCACAGGTAGAGTACAAAGTACTTTATCTTCTAACAAATTCGTCTCTAATCAGATTGATGTTAAGGAAAGATTTTAGAGTAGCATAAGACAGTTTGCCAAATACTGCATTTGAAAAAATATTTCCCTAATCACATTTCTTAAACATTCACATCCCCTATTTGAAAGAGGACAGATTCTCAAGCAACCTTTCAAATTAAATAAAATTGTTTGTCATAACACATAATATTAGCTTAATTCCAAGAATAAGATACATCCAATTACTTTATCCATCAAGACACGATGTTCTTAAAGTACTATTTCTGCTCTAAATGATAAATAATGAATCATTAAAGAAAGAATTATAGGTACTGCCACATCAAAATAATAGGACGTCAATAAATTTGACCTAAACAACAGTTTTAATATGTAAACAATTTTTACTGTATTATACAAATTAAGTTTGTGACTATGGGTTAAATTTGACCCAAAACTTACTTTCCAGACTTCTTGTTTATATTTCATGAGGCATTCCAGTAATTGACAATGATACACTGTAATGTAGAAAATGTAATTCGTACATGAAATGTAAATACCAAACAAAACATCCTTTGATATATATATAAGAAATTACTTCAATATGACTTTTCAGTCTCTAATCATTAAATTAGAAATAACTTCTGTCCATATGTTCATACTTAAAAAATATCACATAAGCCCTTGACCTTATCAAGCTTTGTCCCAAGGTCCTTGAGAATTATTTCATGCTTCATGTTAACAACGGAAATATTTTTAAAGTCCCTAGTAATCATACATTCATAAAATAAACTTGTATCAACATAAGATCTACATAGGAAAAAAAAAACTAGCCCAACAGAATCATAATAAAAGCTCATATTTATTGAACATTCATCATTTGCTAGATATTGTAGAAAGAGCTTTATACGTATTATCTCACAATTACCATGGTGCAGTTAGGAAACTAAGGCTCAGTTTCCAACTTGCCCAAGGTTGAATGGATAGCAAGTGACAGACTTGATGGATTAGAGTGGGGTTTTATCATTTCATCATCAGTTCCATCTTATAGAGGAATTTTTAAAAGCTACACGACAGCAAGATTCTTTGATTTGACTATCTTCACTTGGGGAACAAAGATACTTTCAACCTAGTTAGATGCCTTTTGATACCTTCCCTAATCTATATTCCAGGCTTATGCTGACATTGAAGCAGTTCACACTTTATTCACCAATGACCTCCATGTCATTCAATCCAATGGACATTTTTCAGTCTGCATCTTACTTGACTTTTCAGCCACATTCAGTACTGCTGACTACTGTCTCCTTTTTGAAACACTCTTTCCTTGGCTTCATAATATGAATGACCCTCCCCTGTCACCTGTGGTGGACAACACTGTTACTACTCAACTGCTGTCAACACCCTTTTTTCTTGTCCATTTGCCAATTGATATGGTTAAGTTGTGTGTCCCCACCCAAATCTCATCTTGAATTGTAATCCCCAGGTTTTAGGAAGAGACCAAGTGGGAAGTGATTGGATCATGGGGGCAGTTTGCCCAATGCTGTTCTCGTGATAGTGAGTGAGTTCTCACGAGATCTGATGGTTTCATAAAGGCAGTTTTCCCTGCACTTGCTAGCTGTCTCATTCCTGCCATCATGTGAAGAAGGTCTTTGCTTCCCCTTCACCTTCTACCGTGATTGTTAAGTTTCCTGAGGCCTCCCCAGCCATGTGGAACTGTGAGTCAATTAAACTTCTTTTCTTTATAAATTACCCAGTCTCTGGCAGTTCTTTATAGCAGTGTAAAAACGGACTAATGCACCAATACACAGACTACAAAAGCAAGATATTTTCCCAGAGCCCCTTGCAGCTACAGGTGGCCATGTGACTCAGTTCTGGACAGTAAGAATGAAGAGAAAATCTGCTGCGGAGCTTCTGAGACATACTTTCTCCCTCTGATAAAACAAAAGAGGTACACCAGGAGACTTTTCTCTTAATGACTCTGCTTGATCCTATTACCTGTTTTTGCATGTAGTTATGTAAGGTTATAACAACCTCCACAGTGGCAGCCTTCTTGCAAACATGAGGGGAATTCCAAGATCTCAGTCCCCTGATATTGTGGAGCTATCTTCAGGACTTCCTATTAAGTAAACAACCAATGTGCTTATACTTTAAAGCCTCTGTCAGCCAAAGACATCTTAACAGTGCAACCTCTCTGTCTCTTTGGAGAGCTCATCCTCTTCCACTGGGCCATTATCTGTTGAAGTTCCTGAAGGCCTAGTCACAGAACCACTCCACATTTCTTTCATTCTCTGCTCTCCCCTAAGCAATCTCACACTCATTCACAACTTCAGCAGCCATCTATATATAATTCAATGAAGGGCACTGGACACTTGTGTGTGGGCTCAAAGTTCATTAGCTCTAGTCTAAAGAGTCTAAAGCTCTGTTCTGAGCTCCAGACTCATAATACAACTACCTAATTACCAGCTCCTATTAGGTGTCTCAAAGATACCGTGAACACAACACGTCTGAAACAGATCTCAAGATCTTCCCTCAGAGGCCTGATCTTCTTCTTCCAATGCCTCCTTTATCAGTGAGTAGAACCACTGTTACAGTTTGCATCTGTGTCCCCACCAAATCTCAGGTTCAGTTGTAATCCCCAATGTTGGAGGCAGGGCCTTAAAAATTTAAAAAGGTGATTGGATCATGGGGGTGGGTCCTTCATGAATGGTTTAGCACCATCCCTTTTGTGCTACTCTCATGATACAGTTCTCACAAGATCTGGTTGTTTAAAAGTGTGTGGCACCATGCCTGTAATCCCAGCACTTTGGGAGGCCGAGGCGGGTAGATCAAAACTCCTGAGGTCAGGAGTTCAAGACCAGACTGGCCAACATGGTGAAACTCCGTCTGTACTAAAAATACAAAAAATTAGCTGGGCATGGTGGTGGGCGCCTGTAATCCCAGCTACTCAGGAGGCTGAGGCAGGAGAATTGCTTGAACCTGGGAGGTGGAGGTTGCAGTGAGCTGAGATTGCGCCACTGCACTCCAGCCTGGGCAACAAGAGCAAAACTCTGTCTCAAAAAAAAAAAAAAAAAAAAAAAAAAAAGTGGCAACACCCCTTCTCTCTCTTCCTCCTGCTCGAGCCATGTTTAAGACGTGCTTCCCTTTTGCCTTCTACCATGATTATGAGTTTTCTGAGTCTCCTCTTAGAGACAGGAGCTACTATGCTTCCTGTACAGCATACAGAACCATGAGTCAATGACACCTCTTTTCTTTATATACTACCTAGTCTTAGGTATTTCTTTATAGCAATGTAACAACAAACTAATATGACCACCATGCATCCAGTTAGTGCATCCAGAAACCCACTCTAGCCAATATGTTACCAAGACTTATCAATTTTACTTCCTACATAGCTCTCAGATAGATCTGCTTGTTCTTCAGTTTCAATTGTCCCTGCCTTTGAAGTGCTTAGACAAATGCAATGACCTCCTTCCAGGTCAATTTATACACAACCTGACTTCTTTTCAATCTGTTCTCAACTGCAGTGGGGGTGACACACACCAGAGCCCACTCAAAGCCCATCAGCAGCTTCCCATTAGATTTGGAATAAACACAGGCCTCCCTAACAGAGCTCACAACACCCTGCATGTTCCAGCCCATGGAACTTTAAGTCTAATGTCACACCAGGGAGCCCTCACTCTGAGTTCCAGCTACACTGATCCTTCAGTCTCAGCTGTTTGCCATGACACATGAGATTCCTCTTCCTGAACCATCCCTCCTTGTAGGCCTTGCTCACACTACTCATCCTGCAGTTCTCAAACCAAAGGTTACTTCCTCAAAGAAGCCCTCCTGACTTCCTCAATAAAAGCAAAATTTCCTTTTATAACATCTTATAGCAAAACGTATCTGAAGCACTTGTCACAAGTGAAACTTTACACTTGATTTTATGATTATTTGATTGTCTTCTCGCCTCTCACCCCAACCATATGATAAGCTTCCTAAGATGAGGATGGGGTCAGTCACATGTCACTAAACATGGAGCCCCCAGTGCCTAGCACATGGTGGATACTCACTGACTACTGATTGAATGGTCGCTCTAGAATTGGAAATTTGGTCTTAAGTCATCACTGAATTCTCAAGTGCAGATGTTCCAAGACACTTTCTCATACACAGTGTCTGCTATTCTCCACGGGTATGCTATATGAACCTTGTTCAGAGCCGTCCACTGACCCATGAATGTACCTGGATGGTTCCTTTGTTAAAACAGCTTCCCCTCCCAGAACGCCCCATTTACCTTATCAATAAAAACTCTGTCCCGCCAGGCACGGTGGCTCATGCCTGTAATCCCAGCACTTTGGGAGGCCAAGACAGGCGGATCACTTGAGGTCAGGAGTTCGAGGCCAGTCTAGCCAACATGATGAAACCCCATCTCTACTAAAAATACAAAAATTAGCCAAGCATAGTAGCATGTGCCTGTAGTCCCAGATACTGGGGAGGCTGAGGCAAGAGAATTGCTTGAACCCAGGAGGCAGAGGTTGCAGTGAGCCATGCCACTGCGCTCCAGCCTGGGCAACAAAGTGAGATTCTCGAAAAATAAAACAAAACAAAACTCAGTCCATAATTTAAAACTCATCCTTGGCCCAAGTGACACAAAGTGTTTTCTGATCATTTCAATCCATACAAGTCCCTCCTTCTGATGAATTAACATAGTCTAACGTATTTATTTAGTACTCCTATGTACTACATTACATTGTCAACTAATGACTTATGTAAATATGCCTGATCTTCCCAATTAGACATAAACTTCATAGCAAGCACCATATCTTATGTTTTTCTGTGGTTTCCACAATGCCTAGCACAGAGCCCTGTATATAGAAGGTGCTCAATGAATGCTGGTTACTTAAGTAAGGATTGTGCTCTATCCTTGATACACAATCAGCTATAAGGAACAAGTTGCCAGTTGCGCTTCTTCCAATAAAAATTCAAACAACAGAACGATGACCTACTGCTTGGTCCCAGAGAGCCCCCGGTGGATGTTGCCTCACTTAAGTGCTTCCTATATCACAAGACTAGTTTTGGGTCCCAACTATGATTCCTAGTATAGAGTAGCTGGTTATAAACATTTCCTCATGAGCAAATGAAGATACAAGTTTTCAAATAATAGATGAAACTCTGTCTGACCACAGTAGTTTTCCAGTGAAACATTCAACTCAACATTCAACTCCAAGAAGAAAACAGCAAATTGTAGGGATTCACTACTTATTGAGAATTTACAATGTGTCAGTCACTAAAGTATGCACTTTACATATATGTAACCCATTAAATCTTCACGGCAGCATTTTAAAGTACTGCAGGAAGAATTATTTCCATTTTATAGATGAGGACACTTGGTTTCGGGGGTAAAACACTTACTCAAGTTCACTAACTGGCAATTTGCAGGTAAGCTCAGATGTGAATCCACATATGACTAATCTCAAAGCACCCTGCTTTACTACCCATCTAGCTTAGAAATTTGGACCAAACTCTCATGATGAGACTCTAATTAACTAGATTCCAAAAAATGGTTTTATTAAGGATATAATATACAATAAATATAATATTTTGATTATTTTAAGCCAGATATATAAGATATAATTTCCCCATATATATTTTTAATTATATCTATATAATATAAGAGATTTCATACTTAAAGAATGCTACAGACTGAATGTTTGTGCCACCTCAAAATTCTTCTGTTAAATCCAAACCCCCTAATGTGATAGTATTAACAAGTGGAGCCTTTAAGAGGTGATCAGTGCCCTTATAAAAGAGGCCGCAGAGAAATCCCTTGTCCTTTCTGTCATTTGAGGACACAGCAGAATGACAGCCATTCATGAACCAGGAAATGAGTTCTCACAGATCATCCAATCTATCAGCACCTTGATTTTGGACTTCCTAGCCCCTGGAACTATGAGAAACAAATGTGCATTGCTTATAAGTCATCCAGTTTATAGAATTTTTGTTATAGCAACCCAAATGGACTAAAACAGAAAATCGGTACTGAGAAGTGGGGTGACGCTGTAACAAATAGCTGAAAATGTGGGAGAGGCTTTGGAACTGGGTAACAGGTAGGGGCTGGAAGAGTTTTGATGTGCAGGCTAGAAAAAAAGCCTATATTGCCATGAATAGACCTTTAAAAGCAATTCTGGCAAGGGTTGAAAAAGAAAAGAGGAAAGCAGTAGAAAAAGCCTCAATCTTCTCAGAGAATACCTAAATGATCCTGAAGAGAATGTTAGTATAAATATGAACAGTAAAGGCAATTCTGATGCAATCTCAGACAGAAATGAGGAACACATTACTGGAAAGTGGAGGAAAGGCCATCCTTGCTATGAAGTGGCAAAGAACTTGGCTGAATTGTGCTCATGTCCTAGTGTTTTGTGGATGGTAGAACTTGTGAGTGATAAAATTGGATACTTGGCTAAGAAAATTTCTTAGCAAAGTGTTGAAGGAGCAGCTGGATTTCTTCTGACTGCTAATACTGTAATAAAATGTGAGGAGAGAGAATGATCCAAAGACAGAATTGTTCATCAAAGAGGAAGAAGAACTTAAAGATTTGGAAGACTCTCAGCCTATCTGTATTGAAAGGATGAAGAAGCCTGTTAGGAAGAGAATGGTGAGAGTGTAGCCAAGTGGCCATTTAATAAGATTAGTCAGCTATCTCAACAGAAACCAGGAGGTATTGTCCAAAACAATGGAAGAATGACCCCAGAGGCACTTCAGAAATCCTCTGCACTGCCCCTCCCATCACAGACCCAGAGTGCAAGGACCCTGGGGAAAAATGGTTTCAAAGGAGAGGCCACCAGCACTTTTGAGACTTCAGGACATGCCACACCCTCACAAGGCACCTTCTCACTTTGTAAAATTCAGTTCTATATTCCAGTGCCTCACTGTTCAGCTGCCCTTTGGGCAAAGCAGCATGCACTGTACCCAGAAAAGGCATGGGGGTGTAGTCACCTCCACCTAGATTTCAAAGGATGCCCAGAAGAGCTGGAACTCCACCCTGAGAGAGTCATGGGCACCGGACCCCAGCCTGCAGAGTGGGGCCCAGGAAGGGAACCACTGTGAGGGCCAGGGTCACTGTAGAGAACCCCCACCAGGGCAATGCCCAGCAAGCCATGGAGGCAGAGCCATGCAAAGCCATAGGGGCAGGGCCTTGGGGGCCCAACCCCTACACGGCAAAGCTGCCATGCAGGGCCACCACCTCAGTGGGTCCAGAAGACAGAACTCTTACCCCAATGGGTTTGGAAGGTGGGACCTCCACCCCAGTGGGCCTGGAAGGCAGAGCATCAAGTCGAAGAAGGTAATTTTCAAACCTTAAGGTATAATGTTGTTGGGTTTTAGACTTACTTGGAATCTGTTACCCCTTTTTTCTTTCCCATTTCTCCCTTTTGGATGGGAATGTCTATGCTATGCCTGTCCAACCATTGTATTTTGGAAGCATATAACTTGTTTGATTTCATAGGCTCACAGCTGGAGAGGAAATTGCCTCAGGAAATTGCCTCACCCATATCTGATTTAGATGGTATTTACATGAGACTTTGGACTCTTGAGTTCATGCTGAAATGAGTTACAATTTTCAGGGCTATTGGGATGGAATGAATGTTTTGCATATGAGAATAACATGAATCTGGGAAAATAGGGTGGAATACTATAGACTAAATGCTTGTGTGTCCTCTCAAAATTTATATGTTGCCAGACATGGTGGTTTATGCATGTGATCCCAGTACTTTTGGAGTCCACAGCAGGAGGATCACTTGAGGTCAGGAGTTTGAGACCAGTCTGGGAAACATAATGAGACCTTGTCTGTAAAAAATATTTAAAAATTAGCCAGATATGGTAGCACATGCCTGTAGTCCCAGCTACTCAAGAGGCTGAGGCAGGAGAATCGCTGGAGCCAGGGAGGTCAAGGCTGCAGTGAGCCATAATTGCACTACTGCACTCTAGCTTGAGTGACAGAGTAAGACTCTGTATCTAAAAAAAAAATTTTAATTTGTATGTTAAACCCTAACCCTCAATGTGATGGTATTCAGAGTTGGGGCCTTTAGGAAGTAATTAGGTCATTAGGGCTGAGCCCTTATGCATGGGATTACTGCCTTTATAAAAGAGGCCCCCGAGAATTCCCTTTCCCTCCCACCATTTAAGGACACAACACAAAGAAGGCCATCCGTGAACCAGAAAGCAGGCCCTCACCGGACATCAACTCTGCTGGCACCTTGATCATGGACTTCCTAGCCTCCAGAACTGAGAGAAATAACTGTTTACTGTTTATCAGCCATGCAGTTTATATTTTTGTTATGACCCAACGGACTAAGACAGAAGATGACACTCCAGACTTAGAAGCATTAAGATTTTGAAATAAAAAAATTTTCCTCATTTTGAGTCAGAAGTTCAATTATTATTTATTACATAATTAAGTAGATAGCAAAAAAAAAAAAAAAAAAAAAAACCACAATGCCACCAGATTTGTTTACTTTCCAAATAAACATTAAATGAAAATAAAAATGAGTTTATATCTTAGCACATGTTTTGGTCAGTTTTCCAAAGTTATCTGCAATTATACTGACAAACGGAAATCAAACAGAGTAAATGTGAAAGTCTGTCCAACATCACTAGTAATGGAAGAACTACAAATCAAAACAATGAGATATTAATGTTCATCTATCTAACTCTACACAAATTTTATAATAATAATGACAAATCACAATGAGACAAGTACTTTCACATACTACTGGAAATATTGAAAATTTCTCAAGTCCTTTAACTTATTAATCCCTCGTTTATTGGTTTATTTTATGGAAATAATCAGAAATATAGTAAAAGGTTTATGTTTAAGGATATTTGTGTGTACTGGGGTAGCCAATTTACCAAAATATTAACAGTGGTTATCTTTTGTTCCTAGAATTGCTGGTGATTTTTATGTTTCTAATTTTACTATTTCTGTATACTTATATTCAGTCCATTTCCAGTCATGTTCTAAAATCATGTCCTCAAATATTCTAAAAATATCACTAGCCAGCAAGATCACTGCTAATAGCAATAGGCAAGATAAATTGATTCCAACTCAAAAGTCTGTTTTCTACACAGCTCCATGATGATGATGTTCTCACACGAGAACATCTAGCTTGCTTGTTTGATGTCTTGTTTAATTATTGGCATTAGAATTAGTCAAACCTTTCCAATTTTCACTTACCTGGATTGGATGTGTACTGCATTGCGATCATGAGCATGGACGATGCAGAGAGGTTAACATGGGCAGGTACGCCTTCTCTCCTTGAGGAGCCCACTGCAACCAAAAGTTCTTTGATTAGACACAATTTAATCTCTACATATACCTGTTACTTTGCACAGAACATGAGAGATAAGAAGGAACTTAAAAAAAAAAAACAAAAAAAAACAAACCTCCAATAAAGCTAATGGAAGTTTTGCCCAAATGAAACCACAAAATGTGTCCTGGCATACAAATGCTATAGTTGTCATCTCCATGGGAAAATCAAGTGAGAATGTATAAGGAGACAGAACAGCGCCAGAAAGTGATGTAATGGCTTTATCAGAGTTGTACTTAGATGGGATCTCTACCCCCAAGATGTTTGTATTTAGATGGAAAAGAAAGAAAAAACAGAATCCTCTATGTGCCCAAAGATAAAGCCATGTTGAAGGGTATCCCAATGAGAAAATAAAAAGGAAAGGTTTTTAAACTCAAATTGAACATATTAATTTTTAGAGATGCAGATGAAATAATACTTTAATTATAATGTATAACATTAATTTAGTTACAATACAAACTCTAAATCACATATTATAAAAATAATGATATATTAATTTAAATTTTTCAATTTTCACATATCATTAAACAGTTTTATTCAAACCTTCACATGTAACTTCATCATCAATATCTTCATTACCATAAGAACCACTTTTTTAGTTTTTTAGAGCTTACCATCTTCATATTCATCTGAGTTGTTTGAAATAAAGCAATTTTTGAATCTGTGAATAACACAGTTGCTGGGCATTTTATCCTACGCCAACAAGCATAAAATCACAAAGCAAATTGGTTTCTTTAAAATCCACCTTATCGCTGTATAATCATGGTCTCCACTCACAAACTGCTTTTAAGACATCTTTAAGTGGCTCGTTTTAGATGACATCAAATACCATATTAAATTTCTTTGTCTCTCTTTTTTAAGACAGTGTATCAGGTCACCCCTTTAAGTATTCAAAAGTAGCACTGATGGAAGCCATTTGGGGAAATACATTGTCTCCCAAGAGGACTTTCTTTCTTTCTTTTTTTTTTTTCTTAGACGGAGTCTCACTCTTGTTGCCCAGGCTAGAGTGCAGTGGTGCGATCTCAGCTCACTGCAACTTCCACCCCCTGGGTTCAAGCGATTCTCCTGCCTCAGCCTCCCGAGTAGCTGGGATTGCAGGCACCCGCCACCACACCCAGCTAATTTTTGTATTTTTAGTAGAGATGGGTTTCACCATCTTGGCCAGGCTGGTCTTGAACTCCTGACCTCGTGATCCACCCGCCTCAGCCTCCCAGAGTGCTGGGATTACAGGCGTGATCCACTGCGCCCGGCCCCAAGAGGACTTTCTTATTTCAAACACAGTAATTGAGAGAGGACCCACCTAATAAAAACTTTATTAGTACTCAAATATAAAATGAATTCCTCTTTTCTCAGGGAAAATTGTAGAAGCAGAAGAAACCTCTCCTTACACTTGGGCTTGTGTGGCAGAGTGTCAAGCATGAACAGAATGGTGTGCAGAGAGCACAAAACCCTCAAAAAGTCAACCCTTACATTTCTAAACATAATAGAGAAGACCACTGCCACGAGCAACAACAAAAAGCAAATAACCTCAAAATCTGCTTTATTTTATTTTATATTAAAGTACAATAGGTGTGGATTATATCTCATCTACATCCAAAAAGGATAACTTCTAATAAAACACATGTATAATAGAATCATCAAAACACTAATAAAAATTTGTCATATAATAAATCAGAGGAGATAAAAAATTTTTAACACAATTCTTTTCTTTTTACATAAAGGAATTTGGGCACCAAAGTAGACAGTGGCCTTTAAAACAATTTTACAAAAATAAACAAACAAAACACATCTATCACTAAGTTCCATTTACTTAAGTTGGCTTTTATTAATCGCTTGCAGCTAGACAGCTGCTAACCCACTAAGCAGGTGATACTCAGGGAGATAAACTAGTTTGGCTCCACAACTTATTAAATAAATAGGTATTAATAATTAGACAAAGATTGGGGATCAATTCACTGCTCTTAGACAGTCAAATTGATTAATCAAATGTGATTAATCAAGAAAAAAGAACTTTCAGCCAAATGCTAAGGAACAAAGTGCAAGCTGCTCTCAAACTGTAGCCAGGGAGTTTGTTCAAATTCAGCTTCTTTGGGGCCAAAGAAGACACTCCTGGAGAGTCAGCTTGGAAACCACATTTTCCAGTAAAGTACATGTTTAATTAATAAGCACATCGGGTGATTCTGATGCAAGCTGGCTTTGGACCACTGTTTGAGAAGTACTATTAGAGGGATGAGAAATAGGGAAGAAAATGCCCAGTAAGGTGTCCTGGGGCAGGAAGAATAATTGCACGCCCTGTGCCCTTTGTTAAAGAAAGAAAAGAAAAAATAAATTCTTGTCTCAGACGTATTCAAGAAATACACACACACACACACACACACACACACACATATATATATTCTTGTTTTGGGACAAGTGTTTCACCTTTGTTTAAATTCATCTCAAGCCTTTTAATAATATGCATTTAATAATATGTATTTCTCAACAATGAAAACTGCTATTAAGGAAGGCTGAGAGTCACTGTAAATGGAGGCCTTTAAAAGTGGGAGAAATGCCCACATGTCTCAGATGATTTAGGCGAAGTCTTTTTGCAGAATGGCCCAAATGGCTCAGCCACCTCTGGATGTCCCTGCTATTCCTACAAATCCATACTCTCCGTCAAGAATGACCAGCCAGGAGGTCAAAAGCATTCCCCTGGCTCAAGCCTAGAAAATTGGCTGCAATACTTACATAAACAGATGGTGCCTTGCAATTTCCTAGCCTTCTAACAGACTGAATAAAATCATTGCAATTCTAATTTAATAAACATGCACAGGCACACATCATTTATTGAATCTTGTTAAAAAGGCATGATGTAAACAGATGTGCAGCTTGTCCCCATGAGGGTGTAAAAAGCCAAGATTATAAACAATAGAAGGGAGAAGATAATTAATCAAAATAAGAAAATTTTGCATTTAATATTGTGCTCAGGAAATACAATTAAAAGTTCTCAGTCCTATTCCCTATCCTCCCAGCATCACCAGAACAACCATTACCATGATCTCCTCCCTCCAGGAATAGTAACAATGCCTTAATATGTTCCTGCATTTTGTAGTTCTGAATGTATTATTATGTACAGCTCTTATATGACTCTCATCCAAAAGAGGAATTATATGGGAAAAGCCATTTTATAAAAGAGAGATCATCAAGTTATTTGCATGACAGCACCAACCTAATTATTTGGACTACAGGCCAAGTCACTTGACTTCATAGCTAATGCTCTATTCATTTTCTGTCTATTTTAGACAGAAATAGACTATTTCAACAACTTTTTTGGTCAGTACTTCCTGTATACTAGACATTGTTCTAGGTCCTGGGGATACAGTGCTAAGGACAGACAAGTCATCATTAAAAAGTCAGGAAACAACAGGTTCTGGAGAGGATGTGGAGAAATAGGAACACTTTTACACTGTTGGTGGGACTGTAAACTAGTTCAACCACTATGGAAGACAGTGTGGTGATTCCTCAAGGATCTAGAACTAGAAATACCATTTGACCCAGCTATCCCATTACTGGGTATATACCCAAAGGATTATAAATCATGCTGCTATAAAAACACATGCACACGTATGTTTACTGTGGCACTATTCACAATAGCAAAGACTTGTAATCAACCCAGATGTCCATCAGTGATAGACTGGATTAAGAAAATGTGGTACATATACACCATGGAATACTACACAGCCATAAAAAAGGATGAGTTCATGTCCTTTGTAGGGACATGGATGAAGCTGGAAACCATCATTCTGAGCAAACTATCTCAAGGACAGAAAACCAAACACCGCATGTTCTCACTCATAGGTGGGAATTGAACAATGAGAACACTTGGACACAGGAGGAGAACATCACACACCGGGGCCTGTCATGGGGTGGTGGGAGGGGGAAGGGATAGCATTAGGAGATACACCTAATGTAAATGACGAGTTAATGGGACTCCAACATGGCAGCATACCAACATGGCACATGCATACATATGTAACAAACCTGCATGTTGTGCACATGTACCCTAGAACTTAAAGTATAATAAAAAAAGAAAAAAGAAAAAAAATACAGACAAGTCTTTGTCCTTATGGATCCTAGATGCTAGAGCTGTGTTACCCGATATGGTGACCACTAGTCACATGTGGCTATTTAAACTTAATTAAAATTAAATAATATTTAAAATTCCATTCCTCAGTCTCACTAGACACATTTTAAGAGCTTAGTAGCCACATGGGGCAGTGGCTACTCTACTGTGCAGCACAACATTTTTAGTGTTTTTATGGAACATTCCATCATTACAGGAAGTTCTGTAGACAGCGCTATTCTACAAGAAAGGGCAAACAGGTACTTGTGGCAAAATGGAAGCAGTGCAAGGGAATAAAGAGAAAGTGATGGAAGGTCCTGTTTCAGCCAGAGGGTAAGAAAGGGCATCTTGAAAGATGTACTTGAGCTTAAACCTAAAGAATGTAAGGAAGCAAATAATCATGAGACAATTTGGGAGAAGGACTTTGAAGACAGAATAAAGCATGGAGCAAAAGCAAAAGTGTGGTGCCTTTGGGAAACTGCAGAAAAGCCAAGCCTCCTGGAGCAGAGTGAAGACAAGGAGATGTAGTGATTGGAACAGGAAGGTAGGTAGGGATCAGGTCATAGAGGGCCTATGAGCCAAGGAAGGGCACTGAATTTGATTAGTAAGAGTGATGGGAAGCTAGGTGGTTTTGCTGAGGGAAGTGGCATGATCTGATTTACATGTCTGGAGGATAGCTCTGGCTTTTTGATGGAAAGCAGAAGGTAGGAGGGCTAAAAAGTAAGCAGGGAGACCAGTTCGGAAGCTACTGGACTGGCCCCAATGAGAGCTGGTGGTAAGAAGTGGCCTGAATGGGGATATACTGAAATGAATTCCACTGGCCTTACACTTATCTAAAGGGTGAAAGTAAAGGAGCCATCTGGAAGGAAGAAACACCCTATGGTGTAAGTTTTTCAATGTAACAGAACCATTTCCTGTATTCTGCCAGACTGCACTGCCTGGATTAAAAAGTGGTCTCACCTCTACGTGGGCCTCCTACTTGTGTGAGCGGAGGTAATTGTGTTCCATGAGATAGGGTTTAAGCAAAAGATGTCCATGCCTTCAGAAGGACACTATCAGTTAAACATAAAAGGAAGACCAAGACAATGTGACCCAGGAGCCTATGCAGCATTAAAATATTTGCAGAATTATAGATTAATGAAAAGTCAGGGACAGAATGCCCATCCATACTCTGGAAGTGTTCTGTCAGATTCTATGAGTCCAAAAACTGCTACAATGATTATTGTTATTATACAACACACTCTAGAAGAAAAAATGCCAAAGCCCCAGCAGATGGCCTCTTACCTTAAGCAATATTTAAGATGATGAAATTTCAGGACAACGTGTGAATTTTAACTAGGTATTGGAATGAGTTGCAATGGGATTTGATATGTCTGTGATTTGACTATGCATTTGGCCTGATATACACCTGCATAACATCACATGATATTTAAAGGCAATTCTCATACATTATTGCACGGTCTTCACAACAGACATGGGATGTGGACAAAGGAAGTTATCCTTATCACCATTTTACAGCTAAGGAAACCAAAGTTCCATGAGGTTAGGAGATTTGCCAGTAGTTGAAGGATTATAACTCAGCTCTTCTGGATTTCTATGTCAAAACATTTCCCATGACTCAGCAATAAAACTCTCAAAGTATATAGGGAAACCTACCTTAGAAAAACAACCATTAGCTAATAAAACAGACTGCATATATTAAAGATTATTTAAATATCATCAATATTTTGCATTTTTACTATTTTTTCTATTAGTCTTTGGAAGGTTATAGAAACATAACATGCACCCTCTGTAGTAGTAGGAATAGAACAAAAAATGGTAAGTCACACAATTGCCTTTAAGATAATGGCCTTCAAGATTTAAATGAACCTTTATTTTCCCTGAAGGTAAGTGACTTTTTGAGAAAATTTAGGGTGGAAAGGGAACTAGATGAGACTGCATAGTCTGGGATACTAGGATACGTTAGAATAATCTTAAACGATTATATCTTAAGCTGATATAATTGTTCAGCTTTATTATCATCTTTACAATAACATAGCCTGCATCAATCAATGTTCACTTGGAATCAGCTCTTTCTCTTCTCTGCCAAAGCATCATCTCCCAAATCTCCATATTTCAATTCAGTCCACAAATCACAGATTCTTTATTGGAAAAAGAGAGGTTTCCATGGTGACATGCAAATGGCCTTCTCAATTCTTAGTAACTCTTTTAATATTTTTTTATAAACAAAGCATATTGAGCACATTTGGAATAAAGAGAAATATATTTTATTTATGGAAGGAGTTAAAAAGAAAAGCCATGTCAAAGGAAATTTTCATAATAAATAAGTTGATGTTTGCTCTGCAGAACCTTAAAAGGACTCATTCTAAAATAAAAGTCCAGCATTTGGTTTATTGACAAGGATGGTAAGGAGGAAATCTCTGATATACATGCTGGCCTCTTAATCTGAAGAGCTGCAATACCTCATTAAGTCCACTTCAAAGATCAGAACTTCATCTTCTAGGTCCTTAATGATAGAATCATTTTACACCTGAAAAGCAGTTCATGTTTTCCATCTGACATTAGGAACACCACACCAAAGAGATAAAAAGCCTTTTTGTCTTAAAGACTTTATCAAGTACTCAGGAAATACAACATCCTTCATCCTAGCATCTCAGTCCTGAAATAAAAATTTTCTGCAAGAAGTTACATGCCCTTGACTTGTTTTGGTCACAATTTCTAGACACCGAAACAACTACAAAAAATAGAAAAACCATGGATATGACCCACAGACACACATTCTCACATCAGCCCATTTTAACATGATTAATCTGAAACTATATCCTTCTAGCTTTGGATCTGTGTCTTTGTATACTCATGAAATCACAAGTACAAAGGAAACATCAGAATGGTGTAATCGAATTTGACTGTAAAGGTTGGTATACAATTTATTTTCAAAGACTTAAAGATGACAAATATTGGCTATTATGGAACCACAGGAATGATTATGAGAAAGGAAAGTCAAAGCTAAGAGAGTAAAACCAGAGCAACAAAATAAACACATGAAACAGATCAACAATTGGGTTACAGGACAATATATGCCTCTTACACAAAATCATATTGACGTTACTTAAACTAGAATTAGTATGCCAGAAATAATCTTTGAGATTGAACACTTTTTTTCAAACTATTTCTTTATAGGTGAAAAAAATGGGACCTTGGGAACATGAAGTGACTTGTTTACCCCTTCAAATAAATGTCAAGATACTCCTCTAATAAACACTAAAATATACACAAATTCTGTAAACTCAACTTACTATTTTATTCTCCTCAATTGCCGAGGTTTGTACATTAATGTAAGTAAGAATTCTAACATGACTACATGACATGTTTTGCGATCCATGTTTCTAATTAAGTAGAAATTAATAATCAAGTGTAAAGAAATAAATTGCCAGCTATCACAGTATTTGATCAATCTTAAATGTAACTTCAGAGGCCCGATATTTTCAACACCTCTCCCACAATTATTAACTTATTCCTAAGAAGGAGGGATTCAGTGAATTAGATTAATTATTAGAAAGCTACAGCCTCCTCATTAATCCCACCATCGTCTCCCAGCACTTTGGGAGGCTGAGGCTAGAGGATCATTTGAGGCCAGGAACTCAAGATCAGCCTGGGAAACATAGCGAAACCCCGTCTCTACAAAAAAATTGTTTTAATTAGCCAGGCATGGTGGTAGAGGCCTTCACACCGTACTTGGGAGCCTAAGGCAAAAGGATCACTTAAGACAAGGAGTTTGAGGCTGCAGTGAGCTATGACTGTGCCACTGCACTCCAGCCAAGACAACAGAATAAGACCCTATATCAAAAAAGAGAGAGAGAGAGAGAGAGAGAGAGAGGGAGCGGAAGGGAAGAAGGGAAGGAGGAAGCCAGATGCGATGGCTCACGCCTGTAATCCCAGCACTCTGGGAAGCAGAGGCAGGTGGATCACCAGAGGTCAGGAGTTCGAGACCAGCCTGGCCAACATGGCAAAACCCTGTCTCTACTAAAAATAGAAAACTTAGCCGGGCATGGTGGCTTGTGTCTGTAGTCCCAGCTATTCAGGAGGCTGAGGCAGAAGAATCACTTGAACTCGGGAGGCAGAGGTTATAGTGAGCCGAAACTGCACCACTGCACTTCTACCATGACAGAGTGTTACGCCATCTCAAAAAACTAAATAAAGAAAGAAGGGATGAAAGGAGGAAGGGAAGAACGGAGGGAAGGAGAAAGGGAGGGAAGGAGGAAGGAAAGGAAGGAAGGAAAGAAGGAAGGAAGGAAGGAAGGAAGGAAGGAAGGAAGGAAGGAAGGAAGGAAGGAGGGAAGGAAACAGCCTCATCTGTTATGTTTCAAAAAACCAAAAATTCTTATGCCTAAATTTAACAGTTAACATTATTTATTTTAAAGGTACGACTATGCAATTCTAAGACTATATCAATAAATGAGTACTTGTCAGTAAGGTTACACAGAACAAAAGAAGAAAATGATCAAATATTCTATTACTTGAATGGTATGATCAGTCTGCTAATTTTTTTGAATTGCTGTATAATTTAGGCAGAAGTCAAACTCTTTGCTGAAAGACATGAAAAGTACAATTCCATAGCTAACATTAAACTTGATTGTAAAAATAAGCAAATGTAGCTCAAAAGATATATATGGTTACCAATTGTTATTACAGAGCAACAACTTTAATAAGATCATAAGTACATAAAATTAAAATGTGAATAATGATCACGAGGAGTTGAATGTAACCAACGAAAGTATTTTTCTAAAACAAGAGTTGAGAGAAGGTGAGAAGCAAGCTGACACTTATTGCATACCAGGCATTGTGGTAGCATTTTACCAACGTTCCAAGTTAAGCATCTTAATTATCCCGCAACTTCATGAGGCAGCTATTACTATTATTATTATTATTTTATAGGAAAGAAACAAAAAGTTAGGTAATTTGCCTAAGGTCATATAGCTCCATTTATTTAAAAAATACTTGAAAATGATTTTGATCATAAAAACCACAATGCAACATTTTTTTATCTTTGTGCACATGTCTGGAAAGCCTGCAAGATTAAGTCTACAGAAGTGAAACAGGATTCAAATCAGTTTTATGTTTATAATCATACATTACACGTGACTTGCAGGCTTCAGGTTTTTTCAGTGTTTTCATAAATTTCGAGTCACTTTATCGTCACGATACCTCTATAATGGAAAGCTGATGGGTTCGTCATTCTGTAGATGAGGTTTCAACTATGTGAGCTGCCCAGATTAGAGGCAGAGCTGGGACCAGAATTTACACATCCTGACTATCTAATGCTCTTTCTATCAGATCCTTCTGCCTTCAAAACCAAAAGATAGGAATTTCTGGATCTGAGACAATACTTTCCCCATCTTTTTTCTAAAGTGGAAAAAGATACTGTAATTTATACACAGGAAACCTAGACTGCCTTGACATGTTCTTTTTTTCTATTCTATAAGATCAAACTGTCTGAATAAAACAATTCTAAACCCTAACACCTTTTATTTCTTTGACTTTTACCATAATATCCATGCTAAAGTGACTGAATTTAAATCATAGCTCATGTATATATCAAGTGATTCCATTATAATCTTGAAAACCTAGAGCCTATAACAGCAAAAGCAATTTCCATTCATATCATACATAAAAATAATCTAGTATTAGGTAAGACTGGACTTACATATAGCCATTGGTAGAAAAGATGTGCTAAGATATTCAATGATATCCTTGTGCAGAAATGGAGGAAAGGTAGCTAACGTTGATATCATCGTATAGGGCAAAGTACTCAGAATATCATCATTGAGAAAAGGTAGCAAACATGTAGTTGTATAAAATATCGACTGTCCAAGATCTACAAAACAAAATTGAGTAATCAGTCACTGAATATTTTGCAATTAACAAAATATGCTAACTTTACATTTTAAGCTTTAATGAAGTGGTTTAAATTATAAGCAACTAGTGCTCCCTCCCTATTAAGTGTTATGAAACATAATATTTGACAGGGTACTATGTATACAGTAATTGGTCAATAAATGACTGATGAATGAGTAAGTTAAGAAATAGAAATATCCATTACATGCATTTTTCCTCCACATTTTCTTAATCTTCAGTAATACTTGGTATTCGTATTACTACATTCTACACAAGATAACTGAGGCACAAGCAGTTAGATGATTTGCCCAATGGAAGTTTTAGAAAATTCAAGGGCAGGATCAGAAATAAAACCGGACTATTTCTGCTCCATCAATCAAACCATCTGGAGTATCAGGCAATGAAGTAATTTGCAACCTTCAGCAGAGCAGCAATTTCAGAAAGCACCAAACAAGGGAAACCATAAGCTGGTGCTACATGACCCTGTGCATTGAGTCATCAATGATCATGGGAGGAAGTGCCACCTAATAATAATGTTTCTAACAACATCTTAAAACAGGGATAGTAACAATACCTACCTCACTTCATTAGAAGGATTGTTAGAAGGTTTTAATGGGATAAATGTAAAGTCCTTAGCATAGCACATACTGTGTGCTACACAAATATTAGCTGTTATTATTAATATTAACAGTTACTATTATTATTACCTGCACAAGAATAAAAATAAAGGAGATGCAACAAAACCATAACTATTTAGTTTTAGAATGCATGTAGGCCAAATCCCATTACACTAAATGTAATTTGTATATTTGTATATTTCTGGACTTCCCAAAATATAGGCCATCAGTCCAGGATTGATGATGAAGACTTTGATCACTTTTGTATTCATTAGAAATGAAAAGTACTAGACTCTTCTTTGTTTTGCACCAGATGTACCTTCTTAGTGTTATTTGGATTCCTAATGTTATTTCTGGTTGTCATTAGAATTAATATGCCATCTCAACAGGCACATCAGGCAGCAACAGACAGGATGTGGCCACAGTGCACACTAGAGGGCCAGGGTCAGTCAACCTTGAGCTCAAATGAATGAAATGGAAAATCCACAGGTGTTTTACTAAGAATTAACCAAGGCTATGCATACAAGACACCTCAGCTGCTTTTGCTGAGCCATTTAGCCTAATTACATAACATTAGTACTGAAAGGAGCCCAGCTGGAGTATTTTTCACATAAAGAAACTGAGGTCCGGAGAGAGGTGATTGCTCAGGATCACCTGAGAGCAGCTGAACTGCGACAGAACCGTTGCCTAGTGCTCTTCCTGTACTCCACCTGGACCCAGCAGGAGGACACAGCCTCCGGTCTGAGCGTAGCAGCTCTCAAAATCTGTGCAAAAGAAGCATCCACAAGGATCTTGCTAAAAATTCAGATCCTCAGACCCCACCCCTCAGTGATTCTTAGTGACAAGTACCTGAGTGGGACCAGAATTCCATGTTACAAACCCCCTCGGTGATTCCGATGTTTTTCAGACCATCCTTCAAGAAACAATGCTGTATTGTTTCTCTGAACCATTCATTATATTGATCTACTGAGTTTTTCCCTACCTTCTAAGCTCTATCATGCAGAACAAGAACACAATAGCTAAATAACAATGTCACAAAGTCACAAAACAGACGCAGGTATGAGAGCAAAAATACAAATTATCTCCCCTGAAATCGTCACAATTTACACATTAATTGCAATTATACATATTGCAATTTACCAAATTTAATGTCTTTATCTTAATCATGGGGCTTTGAAGATAATGGGCAGCTCCCCTAACACAGTGGACCAACCCAGGCCCAGGCAGGTCCCAGGTGAGTTCAGGACCAGTAGTCACGAAGGAAACTCACTGACAAGCTCATCAGCATAGTAAACTCTGGCAGTCTTATGTTCAGAATCCTCTCATTTAAGTTCAGAGCTGGCAGAGGATCACAGCAGAAGTGGCCAGGCTTAAGATGGCTACAGAATTATACAATAAGCAACTTTACGAAGTTCTATACCTTTTATATTCATCATAACACAGAATTGTAAATATAAGAAAAAACAAATTCAATAGTTATTATTTCATCATTTTTATCTCAGTAGATTTTTAAACTTTTAAAATTAGGAACACGTTGTACTAAATAAACCATCAAGAATTCTCTTAGGGGAGTTAGCCATAACCAAAAGACAAAATAACCCCCACTACCCACTTATTTTCCAAAATTCAAATTTTTCTGTACAGCGAAACCTTGGTTGTCACACTTCCAGGGACCAAATTATCAGAGTTCTGAAGTTAAGACAACTAATGTTTTAAAGTGCGTTATCTGCAGAAATCCCTTTTCTTATTGCATTGCTTTTCATTTGATGCTCCCATTTTTACAGGTTAGGAGAATTTGGTAAGCAAGCAAGATAATGAAACTGCCTAAGGACACAGAGTAGAAAGGGAGAAGAGTGAAGAAAAGAAGCAGGCTCTTAGGCTTCTATTCTAAGCACCACTAATATCATATATCGTACACATACTGCAGATAAGCACATAGCACCACTAATACCATATGCTGAATACAGTGTACAGCACCACTATATACTATATCTACATTTTGATACAACATTTTGTAATAACTATTGATTGTTGTTTACATTTGGAAGAGTTCTTAGAGATCACTTCTCATCTAACCTCCTGACTTTATTAAAGAGACAGGAAAAAATGGGTCCTAGAGAATTTGCTCCCTCAAAAATCACAGAATCACTCAGTGGATTATAGCCTGCTCTTCATGCTCTACTTCTTAATTTTCTGGGCGTCAGTTTTAAAGTCTTATCTCCCCACTCATAATTTCAACAAGAGTCCCCATGATAACTCATCAGGAAAGAAGAGAAAATTTCTTGTTATATGTCTTCCTCCTTTCTCTAGCCCCATTCTCCCCCAATACTCCACTTGGATAACATCCGTCTGGCAATAAAGCAGTGTAAAATGATACTATGGGAAGCACCATAATGAAGTTTCAGTGTAGTGTTTCTAGCCACACAAAGCCCTTCCAGGTGACTGATTACAACAGTGACCATCTCCGAGCCCCTTGCTCGGCATCATATACATTCATAAGTATCCATGTACATTGACAAAGGTTTCAGCTAAGTGCTCACCGTGTTGGCCGTGCTGTAGTAAAGGAACTAGATCCAGGAGAGTCACCAAAGTCACGTAGAGGCCTTGGTAGTCCAAAGAAGGGTAGTCTGACAACTGAGCATCACGACTTTGCGGGCCACGTTCTGAGGGAGCATCTCGCAGGACGCTGTAAAGGAGGGAGCGAGTAACAGTAGGGTTGATGGAACTGACCTGCGGTCTTAGAGATGGGGTGAGTGGGAATGGCACAGGAAAAAGACACATGGTCATGGGCACTGTCAAATTGGAGGCATCTTGGTTTTCCTTCTTCCCTGTGCGGGACAAAATGCTGTTGGGGGGACAAAGAAAAAAAAGAGACAACAAAGACACAAAGAACAGCACATTACATTGAAATGACACTCTAAAACAAATAATAAAACACCAGATACATTCCACATAAGATGCAATTGCCACGCCAGCAGGGTCTACCAATCTAGTACTGGTCACATAGCTTCATGCTCAGAGGTACCAATAATACAAGGTTTACTTTGTGGAAGTTTCATTGCATCTCATGTGTTATCTGGTTAGTAAGGAGCAAAAATATAAAAATGCATGTTTCAGTGCCAAACCCATGTTTTACAGTTTAGCAGTTTGGTGAAGGAGAGGCTTCCTGGAAGAAAAACAACGGCTTTGTCTAATGAGTAAGGGCTCTTATTCCTAATTACGAGGAGCTTTCAAGGGAAAAGATGTTTTCAGCAGGACTGTCTTCATCAGGTAAATAGGAACTTGCAAAATATAGGTATGGCACTTGCAGAAACATGTTTCAGCAAAGAATAAACATGTGTGTTTATTAAGAAAGTCTTAAAAATCACATGTTTATTGCATCAAAATAATGTCTATATGTATATTATGATACTGTTTCATGACATTCTGTCAGTATCATTTGAGATAATGAAGTTTAAACAGGCATATGAATTTAGAAATAATACATATTTCTAAAATGTTAGCTAAACTACATTGGAAAAGCTATAAAATAATATATAGTTGATGGTCCATAGCATATGTTTGTGAACTAATGATAATGGTTATTTATGTGTGTTTTTTTAAATTTTGCATGTTGGGGAGGAAACATTTTATTTTATGAATACAAACAGTGGTTTATTAAATAATTACCTTCAAAATTCTAACGACTAAGCAAGCAGTATCTGTCATATAGCTGCACATCATACAGTAAGATTTCATATATTACTGCTGCTACTTACGTTATTATTCAACAAAACTCACTAAAGACTAAAGGAAAGATAATTTAGAAAGTTAAAAAAAATTAATGGGAATAAAAATAAATTCTAAAAATAAATTGGTTTTCTTTTAGCCTTAATTTTAAAATAAAAACCTTTTTGGTAAAAGCAATAAAGCAGAAAAGTTGTGAATTTAAAAATAGAAGAAGTTACTGCTTAGCAAAATGTTTAGGTTTTGTAAAATTAGGTTATACTATTTAGCATTAAAGACAATAGCTATACATTAGAATGATAATATCTGTGCACTTGCAAAGTGCTTTTATATAGTACACTTATGTTAGTCCAAGCAGATAACAGTTTATGAGTGGTTCATTACATAAAAATAACCTTGTTTTACAGTTGCTCTATGTGCATCAAACATTGCTAAGTTCTTAGTTAATGATACTACATTTACAATTTTACAGTGATGTGAAGAATTGGTTAGTGTCAAGCATGCTTGCTATATCAAGTTTGCATTTATTTTTATTTACTCTTAGTGCAAAATATGTTACAAAGTAAGAAAAATGACTACATGCTTTGTATTTTCCATGTGCCTAATTTACCTCGATTTCCTTTGTCTTCTGTTACCCAATGTCCGGGGGAAACAATTGATAATAATAAAAATAATTTCAGAATACTTATGTAATACTTCTTATCAATAAATAACTTAAGATTTGGTGGGTTTTTGTAATTTAAAGGAATTTAATTTACCTTTTTGTGTGTGATGTATTTGACTTTGTAAGCTTATACTTTACAACGGGATAATATCAACATTCCAGTTACCACCTGACTGTATCTATTATAAATGCCATCAGATTTTTCATCAGACTTTACACTTTTCTCACATGACTCAATTATTCCTAAGAATACCACCTTTACTAATGTTATATTCTTGATAAACCCAGTCACCAAAAATCTGTTTTAATCCTGTAGGATTCTAATCCCACTGAAAGTTCCTCTAGAATCACAATGGCTATAAGTCAAATATATTATTTCCCAAACTTCAGCCCTAAATTAACCTACTATTGGCATCTTTTCAAAATTACAAAATGTGGATCTTATAGAAGTGGTATAAGGAGAACAACATTTTGCCTTAGAAAATAAAAATAGCTGAATACCATAAATTAATGCTATCCTTTAAATTAAGTGCAATGCTCTGATCAAACTTCTTGGTGGGGGAAATAAACACATAATTTTTTCAAATACACCTTAGTGTTTCTCCAAAGTATGATGTAAGTTAACAAATACTTTGGAGGCTCTACTTTGATATTTTTCCCTTCCTGTATATGTGGGGTTCCCAAATGATAGCAACAACAGCTTCATACATGCAGGGAGGGAAGAATGTCAGCATGAAAACAGTAAAACTTCTCTCTCACTGCCTTTAGATTTGAGAATTCGGTGAGGTTGAGAAAAAAAATGGCTGAAAATGAGTCATCAATGAAACCAGTTTTAAATTACCATTCATGTCTCAATGTAAGGAAATGTTTTCATTTGTGGAAAAACTCAAGAAGGGCTCATGAATAAATGTACAATGCATTGTGATTTTATGACGTTTTGTGAAGTTTATTCAGAAAAAAAAAAAAAAAAAGTATTTCCCCAACCAAACTGCCTAACTTGGGAGTTGATACAACCATTTTCCCCACCTGAAATTCTTTCCCAGAATTCTGCAAACCCAACCAAAATGAATATTAAGAATGCCCTGCTCAGAAGAGTTTGACCCAGCAGCCAGCTTTTCACCTTTCCCTTTTCCTCCTGAGATTCTCTTTATCAACCATTGACTTTCAGCATCAAGAGAGGAAGACCTCTGCTGGTGTGAGGAAAGATGAGAAGTTGCCCTGAGGTATGTGTAGCACAGAAAATTAATATGTCAAACAAACTCCCTTTAAGATTAGGAATGTTGACATTTGAGTTGAATCCACATACTAAACAAAATTTACTTCATTATGCTAGGCTCTAAAGTTACTCTATGACTTAACCAATAAAATGGTGGATATATCTATATATACATATATTCTTCCTAAGCAATTGGAAATTACGGTTCAATTAAGATTATTATGCTGAGTCTACAATCCATTTTTAAAACATATTAGGCATTTTCTGAATAGTTAGCAGCAAGCAGCTTTCCCCAAATGTAATGATTTTGTTAAAAGATTTTACGTGCTAGCAGCCTAAACAGCACCAGAAGAGAGATCTGGGGGTAGAAATTCCAAAAGAATGTTTGACATAGGAAGAAGACTAGGATCCTTTAAGTGTCCTGCCAGGTAAAAGGCAAGATTCTTAAAGACCTTCGCTGTTGACAACATGGCCACAGGATGCTTCCACTATAAAAAGAACAGACTCCCTCCCACGTAGCAGTGAGGGGAGGTTAAACTAGATGGTCTTTGTAGTTGCTTCTAATGCTAAAAGCAAACAAAAAACTAAACTCTGAAGTTGTTTGTTGCTCACTGCCGAACTCAGGTATCTGCTAAATTAAAATGAGTACAACTTGGCACTCAGATATAACTTTACCAGACCCCAGGTCACTACTAGATTAAGTAAATGCTCTAGAAGGATTCCAGCACTGGATGAGATCTGGACTAAAGTCAACTCAATTCAACGAACATTTACTGATCCCCTTCTCTGGGTCAAACACCGCTCCAGACACACGGGCTAGCAAGCTGAATAACACACAGGACTCACCTTCCACTACTAGAGTTTAAGGAACGCCCAGGAACACAAATTTGAGTCTAACTATGAGCTAAGTGGACATATGTGGACTCTTCAACTGATTTTGCAGTCAACTATGGTAACATACAATTTCTTCCCTCCTACGAATTAAATAAATTGAAGTTAAATGTCTAAGCTAATTTCTGCCTTTCGAAATAGGTACAAAACTCTACTGAGAACAGTGAGAGTTGTATGCATGCACAAATACCAGCGAACTATTGCTCCAAAAATGCAACCCTGACTCAGACGAAGCTGCTGAAATTTCAAGTTGCATATTTTAACCAAAAAAATAATCATCTTAACTTCATCGAGAATATCCAAATGAAAGACAAATAGTTATTTTGTGAGAATCATCTCTAATTCTTTCTTCTTGTTATTTTTCCCCAAGAACCTGAGTTCTGAAAGCAAGAAGTGCTTCTGAATGTAAAGATCATATTAAATGATTTAATACTATTAAATGCTTTAATAATATTAAACAATATATAATAATTTTGCAGCAGAAAATCTTCTTTGTTGTAGAAAATCTTACTGTTGATAATCTTGGACACCAAATACTTAGACAATCTTATTTGTCTTGGAATTTATTTATTTATTTATCTTAGAGATAGGGTCTCACTCTGTCACCCAGGCTGGAGTACAGTGGTGCAATCAAGGCTCACTGCAGCTTCAAATGCCTAGGCTCAAGCAGTCCTAGCGCCCTGGTGCCCCAGCCTCCAAGGAGCTTGGACTAAAGGTGCATGCCACCACACCTGGCTAATTGCTAAAAGTATTTTTTAGAGATGGGGTCTTACTATGTTGTCCAGGCTATTCTCAAACTCGTGGCTGGTCTCAAACTTCAAATTTGAGACTTCTGGTCTCTAACATTATCTCAGTACAGCTCCATTTAAATTCTGAAAAGATGACAAATCTTGGTGCCAAGCACTTCCTTTAATCTGCCACCTCAGCCTCCCAAGTACCAGGGATTATAGATGCCAGCCACCATGCCCGGCTGTCTTGAACTTTCTAATAGCATAAATAAAATGAAGAAGTACAAACACAATTGTTATGGATGTATGTATCAACAGTTCTGTACTTCTAGAAGAAAAAAAAAAAAAAAAAAAGCTGGGGTAGGCAAAAGGAAATGAATTGGGTTCAGGCCAGCATTTGAACCTAGACCAATCCATGACATGTTACCTTCCCAGTGTTTGCTTTCTTAGTCCCACTCCGTGTGTGTGTGTCCTGTTCACTACAGCCTGTCAGCTCTGCTCTGACCTGCTAGCCACAGCTAATCGCCGAGTGGAAGACAGAACTGAAACACTGGGGAATTGAAATGCTGTCCACATTATGTCAGTACAGCTCCATTTAATTTCTGAAAAGATGACAAATCTTTGTGCTAAGCACTTCCTTTAATCTCAAAGAGACCCAAAACTAGTCTGTGGACTCATAATGAATGTTGGCATCCCCAAAGGCCAAGCCAGGTTTTTACTAAAAGCAGTGTCCCTATAATATGATAAATACTCGTCCTAAGAAGAAGCAGTATAGCATAATTGTTGAGAGCATGTGATGTGAATTAGGGTCAAATCCTGAACACTTATTAGATAAGTAACTTTGAGCAACTTATTTAACCACTCTGCCTTAGTTTTATTATCTGTAAAATGCGTATAACAGTACACTTATCTCATAGAATTATAATGAGAGATTCAATGAGATGACACATTTAACTTCTTAGGACAGTGTTTGACACATATGATTACTAATATTATAAGACAGTATTGCTATAATAATGGTTGCAATTGTTAGTATTACCATTAGCAGATGTTGATGTTGCCTCCCTTTGAAAATGAACTCAGCTCAGTTGCATAGAATCTTCTCCAACAAGCCACTTGAACAAACTCCCTGTTTTACCACTAAAGTGCTACTACCTATGATCATATTCTAATGGTCCACTGCTCAAGAAAATGGAATCCTTACGTCTTGCAAACATGACTTTTCAGTATTTTAAATTCCTTAACTCTTGGACACAATTACTAAGACCTAAGCAGCAAGCTCTGAGGTGCCAACTAGGATGTTACAGTTTCCTGACAAATGGAATTCAACATGCTTCCTACTGAAAAGTGTCTCTCACTTTGAGAACTTTCAGAATTTGTCATAAAGAAAACTGTTTCCCATTGAGAACTTGGACCTCAAAGACAAAAGGAGAATTCAAGAGAATAGAATTGGATGCCTTGATTCATAAATTTATCTGATGATCACTATGAAAATTGGGCTAATTATTCTACTACAATTTGAGAAGAAGGAAAATATCCTGTAAGAGGCCCTAACCTTACCATGTAAGTATGAAATGTATGAATCTGATAAGCAGGAGCCCTTCAATATAGAACAGGATCACTAAGGACTCTAAAGAAGGAAAGATATTTCAAAAAATAAGAACAGAGAGATAGCAGGACTGCAAAAGATTCGTAGCTGACTTGATCACACGAAGCTTCTATCCACAAAGCATTCAGAATGCCCCTGGCAAAGCCTTCAACTGCTAGAAACTCAAGTGCCACTAGTCTTTGCAAATTTGTGTTCTCCTAATATCTGTCTTACAAAATTTTTGCTGCTATACAGCTAAAAGAAATAGTACCAAGCCAATTTATGTGTTGCCAAAATCAGATTTGAAGTGAGAAGACTGTGGTAATGGAGAAACCACATCTTGGAATTTAATGGAACGTGAGGTGTTCTTCTGAATTCTTCAATGTTATTTTCCAAAACAATTGAGCTTTTACTTGAACAGTTCATCTTTGTTTTCTCTGTTTTCTTAATCAAGATATGTGGAGTAAACAGGGCCCTCCTATCTCTACCTTATGGTAAAAGTAAACAAAAGAAAAAGAGTCCTATTTTTTTTCCTTGTCCTTCATGGAATTTCATTATCAAGGCAAAGCATGTTGAACACGTGAAGTGTTACCCAGATTAAAAATAACTATTATCACTGTATATTACACTTAGGGAAATAGAAAATGCTAATGATGAACCTAAAATGCCACATAATTCTGATTTGCTTTTAGACCAAAAGTGTTTCCAATTCTTAATTTTAAGCAATTGTAGGCTATCCTTTTAATCCCACTCTATATTAGTGCCAAATATAGAACTCTATCATTTTAAAGATCCCCTGAAAAGATGTTCAATGCGGGAAAGCAGGCAGTAGCCAGGCAACCAATCTTTTCATCTGGGCCTGGGATCCAATTTGCTACATACACCCAGAGAACTTGAGTGCAGACTCTTCTGGCAGAGCACTAGAAAACATAGGCCCTTTAAAACTTGCAATTCAATAAAAATTTAGATCCCAATAAATTCAGCAGTACTACCTAATAATTCTCTCAAAGTAGAGGATATTGTAAAGCTTACCTTAACAAGGTCTGAGAAAAGTATTTCAAGGTGTTTGCAATATCTGTTCCTGATGGTACAGGATAAATGTTGTGGAGAACCCGGTTATGATATTCCTGCAAGTACCGGATCTTGGAAGCAACTAGATAAAAGCAAAAAAAAAAAAAAAAAAAAAAAAGAAGAAGAAGAAAAAGAAAGAGAAGAATCATCTTGTAATATGTATTAGGCATACAGTCATTTTTAAAAATGATTACATACAAGAATTTAATCAGTATTTTAAGGAACATAAGTAAATCTTTAATAGAATTCCATGATAGAAACAATTACAAAAAACTTTTAATTTCTTTTAATTGTATTCAGCACACAAAATTATTCTTAGTTTTCTGGTTTAATAGCCTATTCACAAATTATCTATTGCCTGTTTTAATCACTAAGAAAAGCAGTACTCCAAATTGTTTTCTAATCACCCCCAAGATGGCTTATTATTAGCAAAATAATAATAGATATAAATCTCTGCTGAGGAATTATATTTAATGTTGCTTAACTAAAACTGAAAGAGAAAACTGAAAAGTCTTTCTACAACACTCAAAAAATCCTAAAATATAGGGAGTCCATTGCACGATGGCATCAATTGAAGTCAGATTATTAACTCAACATGTGATCATGAAAGTGTGTTTAGTAAATGCTTTAACTGTGAGAATATGTTAAGAGTAGATTAACATGATGAGTGTTAAGGAAGAATACAATGATCGTGCACTAATAAAAATGTAAAAAATAAATGTCACATTTTTTCTTCCAAAGAATTTCATAAATTAGGAGACTTCCTAATAGCTTTCTGAGCTTGGCTGCCCAGATCTTCTCAAGATTCAGGAGGGACTCAACAGATTTATTTACCCTCCTAGACCTACCTGGAGTCACCAGCATTGTCCACATTCCTGACCTGACCTTTGACCTGGCTGTAGTGAAGGACCCCGTTCTAGTCATTCCTCTTTGCAAATCCCAAGGAGCCATGATGATCAACGTCTTTCTGGTCTCCTCTTCCACAGGGTTCTCAACACTGTCCACTTGTCCTTTCAATCTTTAAGGCTACCAAAGGAGCCTTTTAGGTGGTATGGCTCACTGTCAGCAGTTAACAGAAGACATATCAAGTCCTGGAGAAGCAAGGCCTGCTGTTCCCAATAGCCCATGGAAATAAGCTCCTGGATGCATTCTAACTCAGAATCCTTTTGATAAGTGTGGGACGTAGAAGCACAGAACGATAAAATATCAGAACTGGAAGGACCTTAGAGACCTCTTCCCATAACCACTTCCTTTTAAAGATGGGGAAAATGAGACACATAGGTGGTCAATGGCAGAGCCAGACTAGTGCTTAGATTTCCTGATCCCAATCCAGTGATCTTTCCACTATGACATACTCTAGAATATGATTCTGGAATGATGTCCACGTGAACGTGACGTTCACATGAATGTGAACGTCCATTGCTTGACATCAATGCAATTTCCAGCAGTTACCAGGTTAATCACTGATTCTAAATCCTACATACACCATTTATCAGATTTGCCTTTTCTCTCTTCCACTACCTGAACTATTTCCATAATATGGTTAGCATTTTCCCAAAGAAATAAGTCTAGATTACAGATAATAATACCTTGAGTCTGTGTGACACATCAGCTCCAAAGAAAGCAACAAGTTTATAAACATCATCTCAATTAACTCCATAAGTATTTGGTTGTAAATAACTTTTTTTCCTAAGATAAAGTATAAATAGGTGATACTTGAAAACGGTTCAACTGCATAATCTACAAAAGTCCATTTCCTGCTCAGTGTTTTTGATCTGCTATTCATTATATTTTTAAAATCATATTACAAGAAAATCCCCATATTAATGCATAGTTCCAAGTTCCAAATATCCGAGATACATGCTAGGCCAGCACATGCTGTCTGCTCACCCACTGTCACAGTAATGAAGCATTACTGTGACTTTTCTCAAGTTTTAATATTCAGCAGGTTTCTGTAGAGTATTTCAGGAATACCATTAATCATTCCACCACCTAAGAAAAGGAGTTGATAATAGTACAGGGTACGGACAGTAAGTGCAAATGAGGAAAAAACTCACAGATCCCCCAACTCAGTGGCTTGCTCATAATTCAAGAGCTATAAAACCATCACTACACAACGATTACAAGCATTCAAAAATGTTTGTTAAATGAAAGGATGTTCTTTTTATAGCTCTTTTCATTAAAATGCAACAATAGCTCCTTTCCACAGGTACCCAAATATGCAGAGCAAAGCAGAGACGAGAGTCTCTTTTTTCTTTGAGATCTTTTAATATTTTACAAAAGTCATATTGCATTGTCTCTGTGTACTTACCTGTTCATTTTTCTATACCAGCTTGTAAATTTCTTAAGGGCAGAAACTATACCTTACTCATGGCTCTATCCCAAGCCTAACACACCGGTACTTAGTAGGAACTCAGTATGTTCATAGGATTAAATGAACAAATGAATTAATACTTTAGTAACAGCACTTATCACTCAGGTCTTTAGGATATATAGAGAGTATACATATCTGCATATATATGTACACTGTACACATATATACCTGCATATAGACATATGACAGATTGTGGACTCTTCATCCTTAGTGCCAGACACTTAGTAGGTACTCAATAAATCATTGATAAGTGAAGATGAAAAAAAAAAAAAAAAGAAGAAAGAAAGTGGGATAGAGAAAGAGGAAGAGAGTGGTGAGCAATCATGAAAGACCATTTATAGAACAGATTGAAAAAACTGTTCCAGCCAATTTGTGCATTGGTGAATGCAATACAATCTTAGCAGTCACAGATTTAACTTCCATGTTTTCAACAACTCGAGAGCAGCCAAAAAGGTCCGTTACAAATAGTAATTTGTAATTGTGCCAAGGATGTGAATAAAACTCATTTACAGTTCAATTTTGTGCACTAGAGGTGGTCATTTGGCTGGTTAATAAGCCCATGTGAGCATCCAGGAGCCTCATCAAAGCAGAGTTCCTCTTTACTCCACACACATACCTGACTGCTGCTGCGGAGACTCCAATAACTGGGCCCGATAGATATAAATGAATGATCTTCAACCTCAACTGACCCTAAGGCTACATTTCTCTAGTAAGCTCCTTCTTCTACACTCTTCAATGATAGTTACACTGTCTTCAAAACTCCCCCCGGCACCACCCCTTTCCTTATACTTTAAAAAGCCATCTGTTATTGACTGAATTTTGTGGCGCTTAGAATTCATATGTTGAAACCTTAACCTCAAAATGTGACTGTACCCAGAGATAAGGCCTTTAAAAGGGTGATTAAGTTAAAATGAGGCCGTTTCGGTGGTGAACCCTAATCCAATCTGACTGGTGTCCTTGTAAGAGGAGATTAGGACACATAAGAGATACCAGAAATGTGGGAACACAGAGGAAAGGCCGCATGAGGACAAAGAGAGAAGGCAGACATCTGCAAGTGAAGGAGAGAGGCCTCAGGAGACACCAAACCTGCCAACACCTCGATCTCAGACTTCAAGCCTCCAGAACTGCGAGAAAATATATTTCTGTTGTTTTAGCCACCCCATCTGTGGTACTTTTATGGCAGCTGGAGCAAACTAATACACCATCATAGAGAAAATATTTTCTTTTCTTTTTTCGAGACGGAGTCTCGCTCTGTCGCCCAGGCTGCAATGCAGTGGCGCAGTCCCGGCTCACTGCAGTGAGTAACCTCTGCCTCCCGGGTTCACACCATTCTCCTGCCTCAGCCTCCCGAGTAGCTGGAACTACAGGCACCCGACACCACGCCCGGCTAATTTTTTGTATTTTTAATAGAGATGGGGTTTCACCATGTTAGCCAGGATGGTCTCGATCTCCTGACCTCATGATCCACCTGCCTCTGCCTCTCAAAGTGTTGGGATTACAAGCGTGAGCCACCATGCCCGGCCCTGAGGAAATCTTATTAGTAAGGGTTAAGAGTATGAACTCTGAAATCAAACAGTTCTGACTTAAGACCTTGGATCTATCTCCACTTAAGCCCAATTTCCTCATCTGTAAAATGGGGATAATTATATCGACTTCATAGGGCTACTGTGATTATTGTGCTATTGTGATTACTGTGCGAGTGGATACTTTGCACAGTGCCTGCTATACACTCCACATATATTAAATAGTAGATGTCAAAAACCTACTAGCATCTCCTTTCCTTGTCCTGCCAAACACCAATCCCACCACTCACTGGGGCTCTCCATCCATCAGTGTGTCTCCTATGGACTTAATCTCTCCCGCTTTGCTAAATCATTCCTACCAGGATTCAAACAAACTGTAGAATCTCCCTTGTCGACGGGAAATAAAAAAACCTCTCTCCTGCCTTTCCATTCCCCCTCCAGTGATGGGTCTCTGGCTTCAGAGCCAAGATGATGAAGAGCTGTGCACACATTCTCCTCTCTCTGTCACTTCCTGTTCCTCCTTCCACTCACTCCAGTTTGGCTCCCACATCCACCACTGTACCGAGTCCTTTTCCCATAATCATCTGGAGCCTCCAGATTGCCAATCCGTTGGGTACTTTCTGATCACCATTTTCCTAGGCTTTTCAGAGCATTCTGTACAGTTGATCCCTCCCTCCTTCCTTCTTGAAACTCTCTCCCCTTGGCGTTCCAGATCCCACATTCCGCTGGTCTGCCTCCCGTGGAATGTATCCTTCTTCAAGTGTTTTGCCACTTCCCCCTATTGCTTGATGTCTAAGTGTTGGAATTCATCAGGGCTCAGTTCTAAACTCTCTGTTCCTCTCTCTCGATATTCTCCCCATAGGCAATCCCAACCATCCACAGGGCTGTCAGGACCGTCCAGGGGCCAACTGCTCTGAAAGGTCTGTCTCCATCCCGGGAGGGTAGCTCTTGTGAATAACAGGCCTCATCGATTCAATTTCTCCACTTGGAAATCTTATAAATATCTCAAAGAAAACATGTCCGACATTGACTCTTAGGTCTCCCTTCCCCCAAGAAAGAAGCCTACTCCACCATCCGTGTAATCCACCTAGTGACTCAAGCAAAGCATTCTAAAGTTCATCCTTGACAGCCCCTATTCCCTGCTGTATCTCACTCCTCTCATCCAGTCCATTGCTAAGTCCTATTAATCACTAAGTCTTATCACTAAATCCTATCAAATACATCTCCCAACTGTCTTCTGTTCTTTATCGTCACTGTCGTTACTCAGGAGCAGCATCTCCTGATCAAGTCTAACAGCCTCCTAACTCATTTTTCAGATTTCTTTTTGCTTCTCTCCACTCTTTCTCTTCAGAGCAGCCAAACAGATCTTTTTAAATTATAAACTGCTTCATACTGTCATAAACAGTAACCACTGCTCAGAGTACTTCATGGGCTGCCCACTGTCTTCAGGACAAAATCCCAAATCCTCCTTAGTGTGGTTAAAGTCCCTGCCTATCTTCCACCCTAATCTCGTGACACAAGAGCCAGACACTGTTGTGATTATTTATTTTATTTATTTTACTTTATTTTATTTTATTTTTGAGACAGAGTCTTGCTCTGTCGCTCAGACTGGGGCACAGTGGTCTGATCTCCGCTCAGTGCAACCTCCACCTCCCGAGCTCACGTGATTCTCCTGCCTCAGCCCCGCCAGTAGCCGGGATTACAGGCGCTGGTCACCGTGTCTGGCTAATTTTGTATTTTTAGTAGAGCCAGGGTTTCACCATGTTGGCCAGGCTGATCTCAAACTCCTGGCCTCCCAAAGTGCTGGGATTACGGGCATGAGCCACCACACCCGGCCCCTCTTTTCCTTAACACTGTTTTTTGCTTTTTTGTTTTTCTTTCTTTTTTTTTTTTTTTTTTTGCTTGAAAACCTTTCTATGTCCTTGTCCCTCTTCGTAGAGTGCTTTCCCTCCACATTTTGTGGGACTAACTCCTACTCATACTTCAAAACCGACTTTAAGTGTCCCTTCCTCATCATGAAGGTCTTTGCAAACTTCCTTGTCTGAAATGATTCCCCGATCTCCACTTTCATTTCTTTCTGTGTAACACTCTGCGGTTTTGTCCAGAGCAGTGAGAACAATTTGTAATGATGTGTTTCTTTAGGTGACTGTTGACTGTCTTTGCTAAGTGAACAATGAGCTTTTTGTTCACCATTGTGTACCTTTGGTGCCTATTAAGTATTGAATTTGCTGAGTTCCTAGTAAGGATGAAAATAGACAAGGCAAGAAGGGAAAGAATGGCCTTTTACAGCTGTTCAACTTTGTGTCTTTATAAAAATAGCCCAGGAGGCCAGCTATTAAAACTGTGATGAAAATGAAGAAAAAAAACAAAAGGGGTCTGTGCATATACAAATTTAATCTCTGTTCGATATTTTACTGCCCATTCTATCCTCACCGTTTCTTAGGGGCTTTGCTACTTTTTGGGAGCAAAAGTCATAAAGCAAAATTCACTCATAGACTAAACAGTACTTTAACAAAATTGGGATTGCATAAAACATAAGTTTTAAATCTTTCTTCTTTAAGTCTTAAGCATTTTCCTATGTCACTAAATATTTTTAACGGAGATCCATCCCTAATTTTGAAAAATTTAATTAGCAATGCTCATTATCATAAAAGGAAAAAATTCAGGTAAGCAACATGAAGAAGATAAAAACACCTAAAGAGCCCACTACTGAGAAACAACTGTAGTTAACATTTTGGCATGTTATCCTTCTAGAAAATTTTCTTTGCATAAATACACATTTACCAGAATGGGATTAAACTGTGTATAGTTTTAGAATCTGCTTTCCTCACTTTCTAGGCACTTCTATATCATCATTTTAATGGTTTTATAATTTCCTTTATGTAAGAGAATCATAATTTACTTTACCAATAATCTATTTGTGAGATTTTGGGGTGTTTTCCAGTATTCTATTCAATGCTGCAAAGAATATTCTTTTCTTTTCTTTTACTTTGTTTATTTTTTGTAGAGACAGAGTTTCACTATACTGCTCAGGCTGGTCTCGAACACCTGGGCTAAAGGGATCCTCCTGCCTCGGCCTCCCAAGTGCTAGGATTACAGAAGTGAGGTGCCACGCGAGACCAGAATATCCTTTTAAATACTCTATGTGCACACATCTTTAATTATTTCCTTAGAATAAATTTGTAGTTACGAGATTGCTGAGTCATATGGAAAACACTCATTGTTAAAGCTCTTGGTAAGAATTAAGAAATCGTCCTTCAGAAAGACAGTACCTGTTTACATACCAGCAGAGTATATACATCATTAAGTGTGAATAATATCTCTTGGTCATCCACTATGTTCCAAGTGCTCTATATACTTTTTTTTCTTTTCTTTTCTTTTTCTTTTTCTTTTCTTTTCTTTTTTTTTTTTTTTTTTTTTTGAGAAGGGGTCTTGCTCTCTTGCCCAGGCTGAAGTGCAGTGGCACGATCTCGGCTCACTGCAACCTCTGCCTCCCAGGTTCAAGGGGTTCTCCTGCCTCGGCCTCCTGGGTAGCTGGGATCACAGGTGCGTACCACCATGCCTGACTAATTTTTTTGTATCTTTAGTAGAGACGGGGTTTCACCATGTTGGTCAGGCTGGTCTCGAACTCCTGACCTTGTGATCCGCATGCCTCAGCCTCCCAAAGTGCTGGGATTACAGGTGTGAGCCACCGTGCCCCGCCTTTTTTTTTTTTTTTTTTTTTTTTTTGTGAGACGGAGTCTTGGTCTGTCTCCCAGGCAGGAGTACAGTGGCTCAATCTTGGCTCAGTGCAAACTTCGCCTCCCGGGTTCACCTCATTCTCCTGCCTCAGCCTCCCGAGTAGCTGGGATACAGGCGCCCGCCACCAAGCCTGGCTAATTTTTTTAACGTATTTTTAGCAGACACAGGGTTTCACCGTGTTAGCCAGGATGGTCTCAAACTCCTGACCTTGCCATCCGCCTGCCTCGGCCTCCCAAAGTGCTGGGATTACAGATGTGAGCCACCACGCCCGGCCCTATATACTTATTTTTAACCCTAGAAATAACTTTGCAAGGTGGTCACTATCATTACCATTAAAAGTTGAATAAACCAAAGCTCAAAAACAGTAAGTGACTTGCCCAAAGACACAAAGCTAATAAGTATAAAACTGATAGTTTAACTGGCTGCAAGCCATGCTTTTCCACCAGACCACATTGTTCTTTAATTATTTTTACTGGTTTAATAATATTCAGTGATACAGATTTAGCATGAAATACAGACACTTCCCCTATTCTATTGTTCGCATTTAGGTTGTTTCCAATATTTCATTAAGTAAAACTGCAGTGAGCAGACAAAATATTAGACTATTTAGAAATTAGACTAGTTATTTATTTCTTAGAAAACACAAAACAAAACATGTTTACTTCATTAGTCCTGCCCTTTACTTCTTGAAAAATCAGATCCCCTTCATCCTTCAAGGCTCATCTTAAGAGTTACATTGGCCGCATGCGGTGGCTCATGAGTGTAATCCCAGCACTTTGGGAGGCCGAGGTCAGGAGTTTGCAAAGGTCAGGTACATAGCAGATGGTCAACAGCAGCACAGTGATTGAAATGAATTGAAAGTTTAAATGTCAATTATCTTTAGTCCTATTACTATTCCCTAAATAACTGCTTTAAAATTCTAATATCATTTACACTAATAAGTAATTTCGAAATGAAATTTGCTTATATAACATGCAA